TTTACAGAAAAGCGTGAACAGCTGACTCCATGTCGTCCTTTGTTAAACCTCGCATTCATGTGAATGTCTGCAATTGTTGTTTTACTGTACGCCACAACGACGATACCCTGCTTTGCGGTACTGGCTCCATCGAGATCGAAATGGGAGCACACTGCCTTTTATATCGGATAAACCGAGAGCACTAGTATCGTATTCAAGAGCACATAAGGGAAGAGACGTGGGTAATGTTGTTAACCCCTTGCAACACCAGATGCGAGCCACGGGAGCGACTTCCATGTTAATATGTTCTGTGTAGCTACGAGACTGAGATTTCATCAGAAAAGCTTGCCAACCTCACTCCTCATCCTTCCACACCGACCCTAGATAAACGCAAAACGAATGCTCGTTCGATTTACGACAAACTCTTCCTTTTGTTTCAAGTGGCGATAACTAGAGTGGACGTGCCAATTGACAAATTTGACATACATTGACACTGCGAGATTGAGCTAGAGCTATTTGCCCATTGACCGTCACTAAACACAGGGCTGTGAGTGACTTGCTCCGCATCAGGTGGAACTGGATTACTTCTCATCACTGAGTTCTCGGAAGTGTTTTTCGTACGCTCTATGACGTTCGAGAATACTAAAATCGGTTGATCGAATAGCTCACAAATTTAGAAAAGCTTCAGACAATCTCCAGGCTTCTGAAGAAGACGGAGCGGTTGGAACATAAGGCCAGTAAATAAAGTTTCCACCTTAAAAACCTCGTTGTGGCGTACAGTACAAAAACACTTGAACAGCTAACTTATGAGAAGGAAAAGCACACACCGAGTTTAGTAACATGACTACGTTTTGTACAGAAACTTCGGAACTGTTTCTCACTGAACTCTTGGCTGATTATCGTAGCAATCGCGAGTATCCAATACAAAATAATTTCGTGAATATCCCTCTATGAATAACAACAACACAACATAGCTTCTAGAACGCATTCATCAATACAACTAGTGTACTAACTAAATACTAACATCAATACAAGATTGGTGGGATGGGAAGAAATTTTCGCCGAGGCGTCGACAGAGTATGCACCACTCTCTTTTGGGCGGTTGATTACCGATAGCGCCGTAGGAAACCGCTTCACCTTCACCTGACTCTCCTCATTTTACTTAGCAAATCTTATAGCTATCGGACGAGAGCTGAGCTGAGCGCAACGAATAGCAAGAGTAACGTGAAAAAACAAATAGAAAACAAAAACTTTTTTGCTTCAAGACACTCCGACTAACCAAGAAATGAGCTTGTCACCTGGCAGCTTATTACTTGGCATTCGGAATTGAAATGCTCAGTGAATGAATGAAACAGCACGTATCTGGAGTGCATGTTTAGTTACGACTACCAATTAGGTCCTTGTATGCTTCAACAGCTCTGGGGTGGTGCTACTCCGACAGGATAAGAGATCCCGTCTGCTCGAGCGATAGATTCGGATTGACTCATCATGTGTGCTATGTCATCAATTACAGCCACTCCCATCAGGTATTTCATGATAGGTTTATAATATAATGAAACTTCGAGGAAGCGTGTAAGACCAAAGCTGATGGGACAACTGCAAAATGCAAAAACATTGGAGCATATGAAGGATAGGACTATCCTGTATGGATGACCTCATGAACCCCAGCGCCATCATACTGTTTAACGCACAATTTGATGAATAGCTTGGCAACACAAAAAATCTACTGTAAAATCCATCAACCCTACACCTTAAGCTCTTACGATTAGAGCAAGTCACACTGTTGCCGAAAAAACTTGGATTTACTTTTGCTGATCGATACACATGAGCAGATTTTACGGTGTCACCAGGAGGCTCAGGCCGACGTCATAGTTTGCGAATCGAGCGATTCGCTAGCGAATCACTGGATGCGAGCGTTGCGCCAGCGCATCGAACTTTGCACCAACGAATCAAACTTTGCACCAGCGAGTCGAACTATGTACCAACAAGTCCAACGATGTGCCAGTGATTCAATAGTGACCCAACGTTCAAAGGAAGCCCGCACTACTTTCGAATAGTGTCACGCGACAGTAGACCCTTTTTGAAAGTGGCGGGCTTCCTTTGAACGTTGGGTCCCCCACTATTGAGTCGCTTAGCTGGTGCAACGTTTGACTCGCTAGCGCAACGCTCGGATCCAGCGATTCGCTAGCGAATCGCTCTATTCGCACTTAACGCGCTCTGAAAAGACACGGACATCACAATCTCGTTATCTGGGCGCACCGTGCATAGCAATTCAGCGCCAAATCAATCGGTAGGCGCCTTTTCAAAAAATCAGTGCAAAATCTCATCACATTTTCGTGTGATTGTCCTGTTATTGATTCGGAATTTTTGCCAAATTATGACTTTCAAAGACATCATCGAGAAAATTTATGAGATAAGAAGTCAAGGAATCACTAGACAGTAGACAGGGAGGTAGACATGTACGTGCGAGGAATTGTTTGGTGTTCATAGCTGGATTGTGTTTGCGCGGCGTTCTGCAATGCAGGACGACAGAGCTGTGTTTGGTTGCTGGGACTACTTGAATATGTTTCTTCAGTGATCTCCGTGTATGCTATCACTATAGAAGTTCTTAGGGTAAGCTTTGGAACTTTTCAGGTAACAGCTACTAATTGATTTCACGTAAGAAGGTCGTTGACCAGGCCACCTCACTTTGACATTTTTTTGTGCATCTTTTTGTTTTCAAAGGCCACACGTCATCATGATCGCTATTTGATTAGTAGTATATGATTAGCAGTATTAGTATAGTAGTATTCATATAGTCGTGACTTACATGCAAGGCTGCCTATTTTTCATTCCACTCATCACTGATCCGACACGTGTGGAGCTGCAGCACGGTCATGCTCATGAGGAAATACCACTCATGCAGTTCGGAGTATGAAGGCATGCCAAGGACAAAACTGGTGATAAGAGCGCTTCGAGTGATGACTGAGCTACGGAACGACCTGAAAGCATATCTTTGGAAATGCTACAATTGAGAAGACGAAATACGCGAGAGAACACACCGTTCAAAAGAGTGCACTGATCTCCACATCAGTTCGTGCAATTCCTGCTACGAACATGAAGTGATCTTTGTAGGTTCGGATATAACAGTTTCCCTGCAAGTTGGACTGATCCCGGGTTAGCCTTCGAAGCGCGAGATTTGATTAATTGGCATGAATTAGGAAGATCTTTTAGATTGGGCCTCTCTGAAAACAGTTTCATTCCAGATATAGCGGCACACGCATGGAACACAGAACTACGGCTCATTTTCCCTAAGTGCCCTCTGAAGGTCAAAAAGTGAGGTAAAAAAAAACTCTGACATCAGTTTTAGGTAGAAGTATCCCTATATGAGCTATGAGCTGATGAGAATCCTCACGGCAATAAGGCATCCATCCTTATGGCATCATTAGGCGCGGGTACTATTTTGCGACATCTGAATTATATGTGCAAATCATTGTCACCGCACGGAATCAAACCATGAAAAATTTGGTCCCTTTCCTGTGTTGCAGAGGACCGCAGAGGAAAATGAAAGCAATGTCGTTTTCCATGCATGCGTCTCTACATCATGCAAAATCGTTTTGAGACGCGGGGCATGACCTGAAATACAATTCTGGTAAGCTTGCTGTAACCGTAATGTCGTGAAACTTAAAACATCTTATAATCCTATCTGATTTCTCAATTAATGTGAGCTTACACGAGCAAAATGTCGAGCACTGAAGGCTAACATGCTGTGGTAGTTATTTCGTCTAATAACGATTTTATGATTATGGTGTCATAGGAAGAAGAAGACGTTTCGCTCAGAAAAACGCCAAACATTGAAACTGACTTGTGTAGAGCAAAATCTGATGTTAATGCCGCCAGTTGTCGTGACGGAACGGAATTCCGAATCTACGGAATAGCATCATTATGTACAGAGTAGAGAAGAACAGCAGGAAGTGTAGAGAATCAGAAAACGTAACAAAGCCATCTTTACAAGAAAAGGAAATCTTTGTGAATGTTTACTTTGCTACGCGGGTGCGGCTGCTGTTTCTTCAGCCCTTTCAAATCAAATACTGTGTTGCGAGAACACCCGCAATTTTGGTATAAAAGTGGTGCGATCGTCACTCCAGCAGATTGCTTCTTTTACTTCTTTGATATTGGTCCTTTCCTTCATAATATTAAGCTAGACTTCCTTTGTGAACTGCTTACAACTGACTCCAGAACTTTTTTAATCCTACGGGCAAAATATGGAAGTTCATAATTGCACTTGAAGGCACGACTACCACACCAACAGCATTCCTTCCATTAAGATTTACAACTTGGCCGGAAAGGTTTCAGCAATGAAAGCGATGACTGTAGAGCTATAGCAGTGACTCGGCATCCTATCAAATGAGCTCTGGTTGTTGAAAACACGAAGGACGCGTTGAGATCTAAAAACGTGGCAAGGAAAAGCATAGTTCTCACTCGATTGGTGATGGGCAGCTCCGTTGAAGCCAAGTCCATCCACTCAGAGATGGGTGCTAGTGGGCAAGAAACCTCTGAACGATCGCTTGTCTTGAAACCGCACAGAAACACCTATACCTACAGCTTGAGTCGTGCCTCGAAAAAATGATTTGATCCATGGACATTGAAAAGACGCTTATTGCCAAAAAGAGGGAGAAAGATTTGAATAGCTGACCGATAAGCGCTCCGAATTCATTTAAACCACTTGTTGTCCCATGTAGAGTAAAAGAATTGGTGTGCCTTCCACACTAACTCAACTTCATTACCGCTTTTTCATTCTTTCTTTTTTGAAAGGTATAAATTATAGGATGAGAATAGTATTGCTCACGTTGCTCTTAACTGTCGCCGTGAATGGGGGATTATTTGGAGAATTGCGATCGAAAGTTGAGAACCTCTTTAAGGACGAGGTGAGCACAACACTAAAGGAAAAGGCAATACTGTAAGATATCGCGAAGTTCCACTCTAAAGAAGTTCCACTCTGAAGGGACTGCTTTCTCCTAGTCACGCATTCTCTCAAAGCCATGGACAAGCTCTGTATGAAGCGCTACATACATACATATCCTAGTGGAAGACCTCTGCTCTATTGCAGCTCTTCAACAAAACTGATTCAACTGTTCACGACCAACTCATCCTCATACAAGATAAAGTGCTCAAGTCTTTGAAGTTGTCGCCAGAGATGGTCAAATCGCTGTCAGAAAGACTCGAGGTTTTTTCATTATGTTTTCTTGAGCCCTTTCCAATTCGGCTATAGGATATAATTAGTATTTGCAATCTTGCCATGAAGCACATCCTTTTTTCACCTTCCTTGGCACTTTGGGCCCGGGTTGATAAAGGTCTGTTATACAGCATACCTTACAGAAACTACCAAAGTTTCCACATGATCACATCAACGCTAAGGGAGATTCCATCACCGAAATCAACGAAAACAGTGAAGTGGGCGAAGAGCTTTTTCAGAGCGATATCATTCTCACAAGGTATGTACTTTCAATGGTTCGGCTTCTTGAACGAAGCAGACGAGTGTATCTGCAGGGCTCAAGCTGAGGACATAGTGGAGGACATCGAGGAAGAGATTGGAGGCGCTAACAGAACCAAACGTCAGGCGGTCACATATCGGCCTGATGTGATGTTGTGGAACAAATCAGTCAATTACTATTTCAACAGCACACTCGGTAAGACACAACTGCAAATGCACGAGGCTCTGCGATGGGATAAAAAGGCGGATTTAGGTCATGTGGCTCGAAGTGTTTTCATGAAGGCAGCGGACTTGTGGCAGAATGATACGTGTATTGACTTTAGATATGACCCACACGGTAAGTGGGCAACCAATCAGAGATTAATATTAACTTTAGTGATGGTCTGAGGCATATCGTTCTCCCAAAAATTCTTTCGTTGACGTCGTCCCTACCAGAACTTCGGCTGTGGAAACAATTCTTCGAGAGCTTTTCGTAGAGCTTTACAAAACTTCAATGCACAGAATGTGTGCTTTATTGACTTTTTAGCACTGAAAATGTTGCTGTAGCTAAATGTACTGTGCTAAAATGTGACTGGTGACACGAGTAGACTATGAAAAAGAACTTGTGGAACCATACGAATAAACCCGATGAACAATGCCAATGAGAAGAGCACAAATCCGGTTCTTCCAGCTGAGGACCGCGTCATAGTACAGGCAAAAGGTGGATGCTGGTCGGGGTTAGGGAAAGGAGGAGGTCAACAACAAATATCTCTGGGAGAAGGATGTGAGACGGTCAGCATAGCCGCTCATGAAATTGGTCACACACTTGGGTTCTATCACACGATGTCCAGACATGACCGCGACGACTACGTCACACTGAACCTTCGAAATATTCAGGTACACACTTAGCAGAGCAGAACAATATGAGAACGTTTGCTCACATGGTCTCTTTTTGTTTCCAGCCACCCTTTCTCTCTCAATTTGCAAGGCAGACAACGCACACAAATCAGAACTTCGGTCTTGCCTATGATTATGGTAGCATTATGCACTATGGAGGATCGAGGTTGGTGCACATATTTGTCTGCAATTTTGCACGCTCTACGGCTGAGTATAATTATTAGGAAGTTTTGCTATTTCGCTAAAATCAAGTCCACTCTAAGTTCCGAGACCAACCTGAATTGAAACACAAACACACATAGACTGACTACACAAAAATAATGTAAAAATTATGCATGTTTCCGACACCCCGCCTTCTGTAATGCAGCCCGCTTTTCGCATAACTTTCTGCAGTCCTGTTTACCACATTAGACATCTTGGACGTAACCAATTTAGATGCTCAGAAATCTATGTACAGTACTAATGAGAACACCGAGTGCAGATTACAATATTTTGTTCAATAGTAATATTTCCGAATTCAAAAGCTTTTATTGACAGTGGTGCTATCGATCATAAGCAGCCGACGATGGTACCATTTGATATCAACTATCAGGAGACTCTTGGGTCACCGTTCGTCTCCTTCATCGATATATCAATGATGAATGACCTCTATGGATGCAAAAGTAAGTGTAACCGTCTTCATAAAAACTCTCGAATTACTGGTGGCTTCTTGACCTTGTAAGCTCAATTTATGGAGAAGGAAGGAGACCCTCCTCACTCTACCTGTAGCAAATCATTGAATTACTTCCAGAGAACTGTGAAGGAGTCCCTTCGGCAAGATGTGAAAATGGTGGATTCCCTCATCCACGCGACTGCAAAAAGTGTGTCTGTCCTGGCGGTTATGCTGGGAATCGCTGTAATGAAAGAGTAAGGGAACAATCAAACTTCTATAAAAATCTAGAAGACAAATTGATTCTACAGCCAAAAGGGAAATGTGGAAGGACAGTTGAAGCCAAGCCGGACTGGAATCTTATAGAGGACACTCTCGGGGACACAAACGTACACCGTTCATTAGAAGACTTCACCATATGTACCTACTGGATTGAAGTACGTTGAACAGACCTGGTCTGTAATTCGAATAACCAAGTAACTCGATGAAATTCTCGAATAGCATGAAATCATATTTGAGCTAGAAACAGTCCCTAACTAAAACCTATTTCGAAAAACTTGCACAATTCAACCAAGCAACAGGAAACGGAAAGACCAACTCAATTGGCAGGAATACAGATATTCCCTTTGCAGTCTCCTAACGGGACCGAAATCGAAGTGGAACTTTTGAACTTCAGTGACGGTTTCGCCGTCGACGGCTGTGTGTACGCCGGTGTAGAAATCAAGACAAATCGAAATCAGCAACTTACTGGTTACAGGTATACCTCCGAAAAGGAATAAGTACAGTCAAAAAACGGTATTCAATAACTTCATTTCACTTTTAATATCTACCACTAAGGTTCTGCACTCCTGGTGCCGCGGGAACTATGCTTCGTTCCTATACCAATCGGGTCCCTGTAATGACATGGAACAGGCTGTACCAATCAGAAGTGTCGTTACGATACCGCTACGGTATAACCACAATCGAAGTAGTTTGACCTAGTGCCTAATACATTGATAGGAACCGATTCAGTCTCGGCAGACAAGCCTCGTCCTACTTCTCAGACAGCTACTCCATTCCCCAGTACCTCTACGACCACTACGACAACCACCATTGAGCCACCTCTTCCTCCGGATGTCTACATTCCTGGTCAAGGAGGACACAGATGTGTGGATCATCCAGAGTGAATAAATAATTTCAGAAGAACTCCAACTAAAAAAATGAGACTTACTATATCTTCCAGCTGTCCACTTCACGTAGCTAACGGATTGTGTACTAGCAATTATTACACACTTGAGCAGAAAAAGAATTATTGCCCCAAGGCATGCAATTTATGCATCACTTCGACCAATGTTACCACTCCGAATCCATCTCCTGTGAACATCGATGCTCCAGACCAAACAAGTAGCAAATGTGTGGACCATCCAGAGTGAGGCAAATTTTTTAAAAGATATTCGGAAACTGGCTTGATACCCTGATTTTCAGCTGTCCAATACATATCGCAAATGGGTTCTGTACTCGTCCGGAAATTGCACATCAACAGAGGATGCAGTACTGTCCTAAGGGATGTGGTCACTGCAGAGATTAGCGATTCACAAGTTGATAATTACTAAATATTTCTCAGTTTCGTGTTTGCTCAACTTGCTCGATTTCCAGACGCATGCATATTTGTGGAAAGTTCGTTAATACCATAACTATCTCAAATAATCAAAACAAAAGATGTATTCAATTCTCGTGAGGAAGCAGTTCTAACACAGAAACCGCGAAAGGAAAGGAAACCATGAAACTCTACAATTATAGCGGGGTTGCATTAATTCGTGCTACCCAGTGTATGGGCAGCCTAGTTAAAGCCTCAAACAGAATACTTAGCGGATATTGCAAAACTGGTCAGCCCTTCCTATGCCGAAACAAAGCTACGTCAATTGCTTCACTTTGGGCAACTACCGTAGTTTTGTAGATGAAGAAAAGGGAGAAGTTAGAAGGAGAACCAATGAACAAGACCCATTTCTTTAGAACTGTTCTGTTAACTGAACTGTTACATACACGGTTTCGATCAAGATAGACACTAAAGAAAAAATTTCAAATCCAATTGGTGGTAGAAAGCATGCAAAGTTAAGAAAATAGCAATGGGTGCAGAAAAAAATAGTTCCATTCTCGCCTCGATCTTGTCATAATAGTGCAATAAAATGTCATCATCTGGTCGAAAACAGATGCTCTTTTTTGTTTTTTCTTCAGATTCGGGAATGTGAGGGTCTTTCTCTGCAGTCCGCCGATGTGAGAGGTGCCCAGTGATAATATTTGAGACCAAAAAAAACTATCTCTTCTCGAGAATTCGCGTCCATAGTGCGCGGTAGATAACCACGGTAGCTAGTCATTGCGAAACAGGTTATCGTCCATTATTGTAGCATTTTATACCAGTTGGCGCCGCACGCATTGCGCGCACAAGACAGATCTGCATCGAATTTCGATGGTGCGGCGAAAATTTTCGTATTTGGCTTTATACACCACAAATATCTGACTTGTCAGCTAAATTCTATCCGCCCATCGTCGACGGCCTTCATCCTCTTTTTCTTCGTCAACCATTACCCTCTTTTTCCCGGTCTCCGGACTGCTTCCGGACAATAAATCTCGTGGCAAACTCTGCCTACTTCGGTGCATGCCCCGCTCACCCATGGCATTTGGCCTTCTTCCTTTCACCGACCTCTACCCCTTTTTTCCCCTTTCTCTGGGACCTCTTGGAACCAAATTACGACACTTTTAGCAAACTCCGCCTACTTAGGCGCGTGCTCCGCCCACCAATAGCAGTTGGCCTCCTTTCCCTCGCCAACCTCTAACCTCGTTTTCCCCTATCTCTAGGACTTCTTAAAACCGATTTGCGACACTTTTGGCAAACTTCGCCCACGTTAGTGCGCGCTCCGCCCACTAATAGCATTTGATCTCCTTTCCTTCGCCGACCTCTACTTCCTTTTTCCCGGCCTCCGGGACTTCTCGCAGCCGCATTATGAATTTTCGTCGCAAACTCCGCCCACTTTGATCTATCCCCACCCACCGATGACAGCTGGCCTCCACTCCTCCATCCACTTCTATCCACCCTTTTCCGACATTACGACTTCTCCGAACCGAAATATGAGGACTCGTAGAAAATGCTGTACACTTCAGAGCGCGCTCCACCCATTGTGGGCAGGCCTCCGCCCACGTCATATATCTGGGAACACCTTAGACATTGCTCCCCTGCACCAATCTGTTTTCTGAGCTGTAGGCTTTCTTCAAATCGAGCCATGAAATTTTTCGCGCACCGAGGGTGGATAGATCCCTAATTCGATGTGACTTATCAATGCACACCTCTAATCACTTTTGGCCCAGTTTCAAGGTCGTTTTCTAAGAGAATTGGAAATCATGGTCATCAGTACACTTCATGTCGACGCACGCCACGCTCACTGTGGGCGGGGTTCAGGTTGGCTGATGTGTGTTTTGTACTTCGTGAGACCTTGCCCACCGGTCCCACACTTGACCCGGTCCCTCCAAGCGGATCCCAAGTAGCTAGTTAATTTCGTGACAGACATACAGATCGACACACAGAACGACAGAACGACAGACAGAACGACAGATGAAGCGCTTTATAGTATGTTATACCCTGCGGATACCACCGTACTCCGGCAGTCTTTAAAAATAAAATATGTTTTCAAGACTGGAACAGCATTACCACGACACCACATCTGTCGTATAGCACTTACGTTGCTCCATCGTACTATCACCTCCTCAGCCCTCTGGAGCAGCCGCTTGGAGAGAAAGGACTCAGAAAATGCAACCACCCCAGAACGACCTCTTCGAGCTTTTCGTCTCACAGCTTCTCTCGTTCTGGGAGCAATGCTTCCATTTGTTCCCTAGCAAGTGGGTGCATATTATTGATTATGATGGTGGTTATGTTTTTGATCAATTGTTCTTTGGGAAGGATAAAACTTGAAAAAATGAAAGTGTTGAAATTCGGCCATCTCGAAATTCGGCTTCGGTCAATTTGGCCGAATTTCAATAATAAATTTGACGCTGGATGCATTTCTTCTACAGCAGATTCGGCAAGTCATTCCACACAATCCCTTTCAAAATCCTCTTGGTCTTTTCTGAATCGAGATTTTTAGCTCGGAGGACCGTTGTGTGGGCCTGACTGGGCTCACTATGGGGCACGCCGTGTGCTTCACACTCTCTTATACTGTGGACTCAATTGAAAAATAAATTTCCGCCGAAAAACGTGCAAATCTCGTGCTCTTTAAACTTGTTGTGATAGATCACTTAGATAGCGTAGAATAAGCACTCGGACTCTCCTAAAACACGAAAATTTTAGGTGTGCGGAATAACACTGCAATTGAAAAATCTATGGCCAAGCTTGCCCAGCATCGATCACTCCTTGATGTTTGTGTTTCTAATGTTTTCCGACAGTGATGATCCTACTGTATCGATCCAGCCGACTATCTTCCAGCAGGCCTACCTCCCCCCTTTCCACACCCAACCAGAGCAAGAGGATTTTGAAAGGGATTGTTTGGAATGACTGGGCCGAATCTGCTGTTCAAGAAAAAATGCAGTTTCAGCGTCAAATTTATATTGGGTTTACCCTTAATTTCTGGCCAAATTTCAACACTTTGATTTTTTCAAGTTTTACCCTTCCTAAAGAACAATTGATCAAAAACATAACCACAATCATAATCAATATGCACACTTGCTAGGGAACAAATGGATGCATTGCTCCCAGAACGAGAGAAGCTGTGAGACGAAAAGCTCGAAGAGGTCGTTCTGGGGGTGGTTGTATTTACTGACTCTTTTCTCTCCATGCTGCTGCTCCAGAGGGCTGAGGAGGTGATAGTACGATGGAGCAACGTAAGTGCTATACGACAGATGTGGTGTCGTGGTCCAGCCAGCTTCCCTCGAAAGGTGGCGAGTTGTCTTTGCAATTTCGCGCGGTTCTCCGGATAAAGGGGATTTTGAGACTTTTCCAGCCATCCTTCCTCACTGTTGCGGCCCTTTGGAAGCTATTCCACGGTTATCTTCGCGATGCATGTCTGCATAAAGTGAAATGGTTCTCAAAATGGGATACCCAGCGAGTCCAACAGGACGGGCGTCACATCCTCTGATGAAACAGCTTGGGTTTTGGTTGATGTGCTGCGTCCAGGCTGCGAGGTAGCCACCGGACGAGCCGCCTGTTGTTTTCGTAGGGGGCTCATGACTCATCTGCACTGGTGACCAACCAGAGGTCTGTACTGTCGCAGAATGAAACTTCTGCAGATGGTCAGACGTGCTTCTCGGTCATGGTCAGTCCATACATGCTGTTTCAATCGAGGCTTCATTCTACTACAGTCGATTCCATTCAGATGTTGACTCATGGAGCGTAGGCTGCGCCCAGATGTATGCTACAGTTTCCTGCTAATAGCCTCTAGATGCACTTCCTATTCGTAGTGCAGGCGGTCCTCACCAAAAGTGATTGGGAGTCTCTAATGGGGTCGAACTTTGCAGCCCTTATCGCCCTTGCGTATGCTATTGAGCCAATAGCTCGGTGCAAAATCAGTAGCAAAGACTGGGGCAAACATAGCTGATCTTTCCGATCGCGCTTCTTGCAAGGCACTTATAAAATTGTCGCAAGGCAGAATCGTTGGGTTTGGTAGTTGATATATTTTGACTCCTGCTTAATTCTCCCTTTGCGCACTTGAGTTTCTGAATCATCAAGACTGAATGTCCTGCTGTGTTCTCCAACATGTTAACTTATTTAATCATGGACCTAATTTGACATGAAGAAAATTGAACTTGAATCGAAATCGGCCAGAAATTATGCAACCCAATAGATAAATAATCGATGAGGTTCAAATTCTCTAAACTCGTTCACAAACTTTAGAAGAAAAAGATTGCTGGGTCCAAATCTGCTTTCAATTTCGTAAAAAATCGCCCCTGAAAGGAGTTACAGTCGCTGAAAGAATGCCAATGCAGCGAAGGAGAACCACTCGCCGGTAGTGTGGCCGAAATCCTCAACGCAGGCATTTTTGATGTACTGAACGAATCAGGTCATCTTCACAAGTCTTGGAAAGAGTAAATCCTCTAGTTTATCTGCTATATTACCTTTCAAAATGTAACGAGTTTAGAGGCGTTATGACTTCGGAAAGAAGGAAAACTCGCACTCATGATTTTTCCTCGCTAATATCTATGTGCTTATTTTTAATTGATTTTCACAATTTCAGCACCGGTTAGAAAGAGCTCCTCGAAAAACTTCCAGTTTAATTCTGATAACTCGTTCACCTTGTGGAAAGTTATAATCATTTGAATATGTACTTGTCCAAATTCCAATAGTAGAAGCTGCTTCAAGGCCAAGACAAAGGACCACCCAACACCCACATGGCTACGGTGGTTACAAGGCTTCTGTCAACCAAAAAATGGACGTTCAAAATGAGGTGCATACTCTTTGTCATTGATGGAGAGTTCTCTTTGAAATTTTTTACTTGCTGAGTCTAGCAGAGTTTCTGCGATGATAGGTTTTTGGGGGAGATGAAGCAACTTTTCGGTACTTTGGCTTGTGAGGAGATTAGGGGAATCGTTTCGTGGATTCCGAGG